TTTGTTACCTACTCAGTTGGTCCTTACAAAAACTTCATGATTATGCCATTCTCTTTCTTTGTCTTTCGCTTTTTATTTGCTTGATACCTTGACCCAGGGCCAACTTTCATTTATTATGTGATGTGTGTTAAGAGTTTTCGCAAACCTACCAAATAAAAAATAAACTGCAAAAACACAAACAAAAAGTTAAAATTGAATTAATTAAAAACTGCATAAATTGATTTTTTTTATTGAAAAGGATCAATTTTGGATTTCACTTCTAAAATTGATCCAATCTAATTTAAATGAAACTTTATGTACATAATTTTATTTATAAAATTAACATCTCATTCATCCATATATATATATATATATATATATATATATATAATTCTAATGTATTTATATGTATGTCTGATTTATATTAATTTAAAATTATTTTTATGTATCATATTTTTATATAAATGTTATGTTAATTTTTTTAATTAAAAAAAAAAACCAAATCATCAAATCAAGTCGAAACCAGTTTTAATTGGATATAGACTTAAATTTAAATTAATTCAAACTAAACGGTAATATATTTTTCTGATGATATATATATATATCTTCTTAGATGTCCTCAGAAACTTTTTTTTTGGGTCAGCAATGTCTTAATTAATTTTGAAATAATTGGAAACCACATGAACTGTATACATACCAAATACTCACTTAGCCCAACCTGGTGCAGTTTGGATAATCATGCCAGTCCAGTTATGGGAATATTTAAAATACTTCACCAGTTGCACAATAAATCGCTACTGGTTATTATAATCTATGCTATTCTAACTCTTTCATATTAGGATTATACGCTTAAATTATATTTTGGAGACCACTCTATCAATCATCTACCAGTTCCTAATGGATGCAGTTCCATCTAATTCACTAACAAATAGTTTTCTAAAGTGACACTCCAGCATAATTGTGACTATGTTCATGCATCTTCTACATTTTGCATTTGCTCCATGTTGTAGACTCTAATACCCCTACAAGTTAGAGACCATAGATTGTAGGCACCCATATCAACTTGGGATGAAGTGATGCTTGTAATGGGATCTTCGCTTTGCTTTACAGTAGCAGTAGCATGAAAATGACTACCAATAGTAATTGAACCGAAGTTTGAAGACCACTCTATCAATACATGTATCTGTCACAAAACAATGAGAACCAATTCAAATTGGCCACTTGTTTCTTCAACCACTTCCTTTGCAAATTGCATTTTCCCTTCATCACCTTCTACAGCAAGAAAAATTTGAAAGCATTACACATGTATGCAAGCATAAATATTATAGGAATAAATCCTTAAATTAATCATGTATATTAGTTATTTATTTGTTTAATTTGTCTTATTAATTCCTTCTATATCAGTTCATTTAAATCTTTGTTATTAACGAAAATTGAAAATTATTAAATTTTACCATTAAATGATATGTGAAAGTTAAAAGACATCATTTCACACTTCTACTCATATTCATGTAGTTTACGTCTGCTGCCACCTCTCTTTATACTCTCTTCTTGTCCATTTAAGAATTATATCTAATATAGTTCGGTGACAATTTAGTTACTGGGGTGACAATTTAAACAAAGGAAATATTTTAGTTACTAATCATCTATCAACTATACTATAGGTATCCATCTTCCTAATATAATCGTAATTACACATGTTTTCTTCAATGGCAAGTTAGTATTTTTTGTGATAAACAAAAACATAATGCCCAGATGGGGGTATTACTCTTGGAAGCATGCCTCCATTTTTTAAGTCCATATTGAAAGAAGGAGGTAACATCTAGGCATTTAAGCTTGTTGGAAAAGATGTCTTTCAAGAAAAAGGTATCATTAAACTTCTTTAATTCCTTAGCTCTTCTAGTCTACTTTCCTTGGTGTACGGTGCTATAAAGTTTTCATTTATTTTTGAGATGATATCAGCAAATAACTCTTACTACTCACTTAACTAAATTTGGAAGTGCATGGTGTAACTCCAAAGAGAAGGAGAGAGAAAGAAAAGTGGTGGTAGAACACCGTGAATAATGTGGATATAAGGAAGAAGAAGAGAGAAAATAGATGAGAGATGTGAAATTATATTATTTTAACTTTTACATGTCATTTAACCGTAAAAGTGAATATTTTTAAAATGTCTTAACGGCAAAAACTTAAATTCATAACAAATTAATATGTAAGAGATACAAGATAATTTAAAATTAATATATACAATTGTTACTAATTTGAAATTTTATTTAATATTATAAAGATAAAAGTCAAAAAGAGGGTTCATATAAATATTCATTATTTTTTGAATAAAATGAGTATGAAGTAATAAAAAAGCTTCTTTTTTTTTTTTGGTATAAGAGAGAACATGTTAGAAGAATCTAACATTCACTAACAGGCAATAGCTCCTAATTAAGAGAGTTCAACCCAATTCACTAGAAAAAAAAACAATTATCAACTAATCTAAAGTGACAACTCTCTTTGTCGTTCTGCATTTTGCATATGCTCCATGATGTGATTCTAATAATTTTTTTTTCTTTCATTCTTTACCAAAATAATTATTAAAATTTGAGGTGTCAAAATTATAATAAAACAATGTGATCTGGTTTGTTAGTCAAACTAAGGTAACCATCTATATATATTTGAAATTACCACAGAAGTGAAGTCAATTAATCACGTTAAAAGCCTTACAAAAATTTCACCGTAAGATAGTTCAATTGTTACAAATGTATATCATATTTTGATATTTCTGACAAATATCAATTTTTTCAGACACACTACAACCATTTTTACAACAAGGAACACAATTTTATACTAAACAATTACAAAGCCACGTATACAGACTAACAAAATCAACCAACATTGATATGATAGAAGAATTTTCATAGTTCAAGTATGTATCATATACACTGTCATATACTCACCTTCACCAAATTTCTCCAACCCCAAACCATAGATTTATCTTGTAGAAACACTTCTCTTTGGAGCAAAAATAGGACAAAAACACTAAACTATCAATCACTACCTTAAATTCTTTATGCCGAAAGAGTTTCCATCATGCCTATCCGGAACGTTTCACAATGCAATAGGCCTATGACCTGAACAACTTCCGGAACAGCTAGACATCCTCCTCCTTTAATTTCAAAGCTATGTCAACATGTTTTTTTAGGCTTCACGTCTGAAAAACATTAGGCATAACATTTTTGCATTTTGGCTTTGTTTATTTTAACGTAATTTTAGTAATTTACGTGTGTGCTGCTGCATCTTGCAGTGAATGCACACATATTCAGCTGAGACCATAAACAAATGGGGCATTATATTTGCATAGGCCCCGCATGAAGTACAAAAACTTGGATGAGTGGACAGAAAAATGTTAAAATGTAACAAAAGCGATCATTCATTGAATCAAAAGCTGCGACTTGCGCGTGTCTTGCTGGATAAGGGACCGAAAATATAAAGCCCAATTCGATTATTGGATGAATTTTGCATTGTTTCCTCTATCCACGTTGACTGAAAACACACTATCAACATTGACCAAAAACTAAAAACCTTTATCAACGAAAACGTAATGTCTTTTTGCATCTTAGCATTAAAATTATTTTCAAATTTACTTTTATATGATAGCATTAGTATCTGAAGTTTAATAAAATTTCATTTGATATTTCTTCTTTTCGAACTCGGCACAATATTTCTTCAATTTATATAACTATACAACATGACATTTTTTTCTACTGCATTAACTTTTTTATTTTTATGCAGTTAAACGAATCAATAAAATTTATTGATGTAATAAAAAAATATCATTTTTTTGGGGTTAAATTTTACAAATTGGAATATAATATATGACCGAGTATTTGGGGAAAAACTAAAGAAGACCACTGACTTGGATAGAGACAATTCTCTTGTGACTTTGCATCTAATTATGTGGGGACCCTTGTAAAATAATAAATAAATTTTATTAAATGATTAAAATTAGCTAGAAAATTCTTCACGCGTTCCTTTGTCCCCATGATATTTTGCTTTCTAGAAAATGTCACATTTTAAACTTATTTTGCATTTCAAAATCAATCATAAAATTTAAACATTTTTTTTGCGTGGAAAAAGCCTTAAACATTCTATTGCTTAATAACTATACTTCCGTGAATTCTTAATCAACTTTAGGCGGACACAAAATTGACCCCCAAAAAAAAAGCCAGACACAGAAAATTTAAGGAAAAGGCTTATTTCATCTTAAGAATATAATTTTTCCTACAAATTGACTCCATATTCAGTTCAATAATAATGTTTTTTATTGAATATTTACATATTTATTTAATTTTAGTTGAATTGGAAAATTAGTTAATTAGTAAGCAGCATAAGTTTTATATGAAAATAAACAATTTATTGAGACCCATATTTACATTTACATGGTTTAAAGAGTAAATATTCTGCTTCCTTTTCTGAAGATTTGAATTTAATTACATCACTTCTTTGATTTTTTTTTTGTAACAATTTCTTTTTAAATCGTGATATTACATTAATCTTTAGAAAAAATCACCATCATATCAATCATTTAACAATATGAAATAGTTACCAAATTGATTGTTTTTGCACCATCTCTATTTTTTTTAAAGAATTATTTTTAAAAAAAATATTTAAATGATTAATTTAATGACATTTTAACTTTTAAAGAGACTATTTTGATGATAAAAAAATTAGAATATAAACTTAATTTAAAACGGTAGAAAAATTATGTACCTTTAAATATAAACAGAAATAAATTAAAATTGATTTAATTTATGGCAGATTATTTTGTTATTGAAAGTAGTTCATATTAAAATATAAAAATGCATATATGATTAAAACTTTTAATTAAATATATACAGAGAAAAATGATTTTTTTTATCAATAATTTATAAATATTATTACTTAATGAAATTAAATTTCTAATTAAAAAATGAATAACAAAATTTTGAGAGAAAAGAAAAGAAATGTGAACACTTGAAATAGGTATGCAAGGTAGAGGTGAGAAAAATAGACTCAGTCAGTCTCACGCCAGAAAGGAGGCTGAGACTGATAGCGCCTCTGCGCGCAGTGTAATCTTCGCGCCAAACTCTCACCATTTGGTTTCGTACACTCCTAACTTCTCAGATCTTCTTCTTCCTCTTCAATCGTCTTTTCTCCCCTCTAATTCACCTCTTTTCTCTTCTCTGTTTTTATAACTTAGCTTTGAACTTAGAGACCAAGTTTCATGGAACAGGTCAGTGAAACGCACTGCGTCTTGAAGCTCCACTTTGAGATTTAAAAATACCTTTGATTCTTTCGCTCTACTGTTTTGTATGTTTTATGAATTTTTGCAGTACGAGAAGGTTGAGAAGATTGGTGAAGGAACCTACGGCGTCGTTTACAAGGCTCGTGACCGTGTTACCAACGAGACCATCGCGTTGAAGAAGATTCGGCTGGAGCAGGAAGATGAGGGGGTTCCCAGCACCGCCATTCGAGAGATTTCCCTCTTGAAAGAGATGCAGCACAGGAACATTGTTAGGTATATTTCATCTGCTATGTGTTTATGAGTAATGTGTGGTGTTTCAATAATGAAATTGATGTGCTGAGCGAGAATGTTATGCCGGTAGAAAAAAAAAATAGGAAGATTAATGCTCAGTGTGAGCCTCAGTGTCTCAACATGGTGGTCATTGTGTGGTGTTATTGGTGCATTGTTGTTTCTGATATTTGGATCTGCAGAGAACACCGATGTTTAAGCATTTAAATTATAATTGATTACAGAATGTGTATTAATTACTCTGATATGTCTTCATTGGGATAGGTGATTATTTTGGCATGGCTGAACTCATTTGGAATGATGTTGGTAGTTCATGCATCTATTAATAAATCTGTGTATTTTCCTGCATATAGACAATGCTTCCATTATCATGTTATCCATATTCTTCACTATTTTGTCCCCTGTCTTGTGACATAACCTGCTTTTGATTTTCTCTCTAATTCCATTTGATTAATGTTTGGTCAACTGGTAAAGCTAAATCTGTTGATATTGTCCGACAAGCTCTACAGCTGTGAATTGTTCATGTAGGTGGCATCTGGATGCATCATGATTTATGGACATTTTCATATCTGAGTCCTGTTGTTTATGTCTCTGAAAATCCATATTCAATTTCCCTATGGTTTTCTGTATCCCAGCATGATACCCCCAAGCAACAAAGATTGTGTTTGCACTGTTTTATAAGATCTACGAAAGACATGCTTGTGTGGTATTATGTGATGTATGCCTTCAAATTTAGATTGAATGGCCCAAGGAAGCCCGTTGACTAGTTTCTTTAATTATGTTGCTTTCTCTAGTTCATGCATTGATGTCTTATTGTTATTTGCCTCTTTACCCATTTCCTTATTATGATTGGGGGTTGTTTGGAATTTGGATGACAGATTGCAGGATGTAGTACACAGTGAGAAGCGATTGTATCTGGTTTTTGAGTACCTGGACTTAGATTTAAAGAAGTTCATGGACTCATCTCCAGAGTTTGCAAAAGATCTACGACAAATAAAAGTGTGTTGCTTCTCTTCTTTTATTTGGAGGTTTTTGAGCTTGTGTCTAAATTTGTAGGTATAAGAGTTAACAAGAAACACAACTTAACCATCAAATATATGTTTTTTTTTCCCTTGTCTTGTCTGTTTCTTTTCCATAAATTAAATGAAGCAAATATGAAATCCAGTGATGATTAATAACCTTATGGTTTCAACATAACTATAACTTGTCAAAATGCAGGTCCATACTTATTATGCATGTCTCATGAATTTTGTGATGAATTACAAGTTACGTGGATAGCAGTTGATTGGTATGACTTTGTCCGTAAAAGTTTCCTATTTCTCAAGACGAGTGATGCATTGATTAAATTTGGCCTTTAGCATTTTGATCTTGGCTGTTAAGTGCTTGTTAAAACTGAATGTGCGAAAGGGTAATTCTCTATTCTTAAGGAGTAAAAAAAAAAAACTAGGTCAATAAGTTAATTGTATCTTATTTATTTTCAGAATTGGTAGCATGTTATTCAAATATTATCTGAAGTAGTTGATTAGAAAAAAGCTTTACTTTGTTGGTTCAAGTCATTGAATTATGGCTGGCAATCATGATGCTGTAGGGACATGCATCTTTTTTTATTTCATTAGATTTTGGCTCTTCTCATTTCCTGTGTCCTCAGTATTGAAGTATCTGAGCATGGGCAAAATAGTATTACTTTCCTGTTAACTTCTTTTCTGATTGTTTTTATGTTTGATCATGATTAAATATTTCCACCTTATCGGGCCATCATTAATCAAATATATTTTATTGTGGTTTCAAAAACAGATGGGCTAATTTGGGCACGCAGGATTTGTTAATTTGGAATTTGAATTTTTTTAACTATGCTTCTGCAGATGTTCCTTTACCAAATTCTCTGTGGCATTGCTTACTGTCATTCACACAGAGTTCTTCATCGAGACTTAAAACCTCAGAATTTGTTGATAGATCGCAGCACTAATGCACTAAAGCTTGCAGATTTTGGATTGGCTAGGGCATTTGGAATTCCTGTTAGGACATTTACACATGAGGTTTGTGTGCTATCTTATTGTGGCTTCTGGTCATTCATGGAGATTACCAAAATGTGAAATTAAGGGGCCTGAGTGTACTAGAAAAGAAATGTCTTATGCCATGCTTCATTTTAAGGTTGAATGGTTTTGAACTCCAAACTTTAGTTGAAAACCTTACTTCCCTATATTGCTAAAGCAATACAATAGATCTTGGAGACAGGATTTGGGAGTTTATTATTTCTTCTCCTGATCTAAAATTTATTAACATGGACTTGCAGCTGGCCTTCTCCTTCTATATGTCCTCTTTTCTTTCTTTCATTCTTTCTTCTTTTATTTATTTATTATTAAACTGAAGAGAAGATGAAAGAAACTTGTGTAAGGTGGTTTGTTCATGCAAGAAGAAGACCAATAGAGCCTTGATTGTTGTTGCTTTAGTGTTTGTCTCTCTAATGGGTTGCCACACTGTGTATTGTGAAAAATTAGTCTGTTTAATATTATCTGTCTAACTCATCCTCATGCTATTGCCTTTTCTTGTTAATTTTAAATTTTAAATTTGTGAAACATAATAGTTGGTACTTAGTTGTATGAGTTCCATAAGTAAATATGGGAAGCAAGAATTGTAGGTGCATTGTTCGTTTTTCTATTTCTATACAATATTAGCCATATTATTTAGCCATTTTTTTAAATTTAAAAAGCTACATTACTAAATTTTTATTAAATTAATAGATTCTTACAAGTAAATTCTTTAAGAAACACATGATTGTTGCGAAGAAAAGGTATAATGGTTGATGTTCTTTAAAAGCTTCATACTATTCCTGTCTCTGAATTAATGTTGGCGGTTGCTTGTAGGTGGTGACACTGTGGTACAGAGCTCCAGAAATATTGCTTGGATCCCGTCATTACTCTACCCCGGTCGATGTTTGGTCTGTGGGATGTATATTTGCTGAGATGGTAAACCAACGACCTCTTTTCCCTGGGGACTCTGAGATTGATGAATTATTTAAAATATTCAGGTAAATAGCCTTTTTTCCCTAAGTTGTTTAGATATCTTTTGAAAACATGTTAAATTGTCAGCTAAATACTTGAAAAAAGAGTGGCCCCCTTAATTCCATAAACAGTCTCTAGACTTAAATGAAAGTGTGGAAGATAAGTACTGGGATCTTCCAACTAATGTGTATCTTAATGATGGGGAAGTTGCAATTTTTTTTTTTTTTTTTTGCAGTTTTTAATATTTTGGAATTTTATGTCCTGATGGGGATTCAGATGGAAAAATCTGAACACTAAATGTAACATTCTGATGGATCAATGCAAATAATGTGCATATGGTATGAAGTCTCAGATGCTTGATCTCAGAGCCTTGTGGCTCATTTGGATTCTGTTAGTAATTATCCTGAAGATTTGGACTTTATGCAATGTTTTATAATCCACTTTGGCGTTTTGTAGGCAAAATGGAAGAAATCCGTAAAGAGATTTGCCATTTACTTGAAGTGTGGTCTTTTGGATTAAAGTAGAATTATATCTAGAGTATTTTGTGGTCAAAGTGTATATTTTTAACAGATTCTCTTTCATGGCGTGAATTAGGTGTGTTAGATTGTCCATCAGCTAGTTATATTTTTTATTGGCTTTCTAGTATATTTGGTGAGTTGTGGGCATGCCATGAAGGGATTCTGTTGATTAAATACTGAGGTTTTGGCCATTCAAAGGAGGGTAAAGTGTTATTAGCATGTGCTAAGTATGATGTCCTTTGCTATCTTTTGTTTTGTGGAGCTCAATGCTCTGTTTTTTAAGTGCAAATACATGTTTGTAGACTTCTATGGAAAATGTGCCTTTCCATGGTCTTCATATTGTTCAGCATGTGGATTTCGATTTTCAGGGAATCACCTTGGTGGACATGCAGATGGATAGGAAAGTTCCCTTGTAAATTATAGGATGCATTTGTTATTATTTGCTCCTTTTTGTAGCTTTCTGCAAAATGGATTTGTAATTCTTTACTTTGCATTCCCTGTCTTACATATAAGTGCATTCATATATAAATATAAGATCATGTGGCCAATTCAATTTTGATGTGGAATTGAATTATTGAGCAATTAGCCTTTTTGCCCCCATATTTGTGCAGCCTCACTGTTTGACTTCTCTTTTTATCTCTTTATCTTAAAACTACCCCCAAAATGTGAATATGTTCAAACTATATAAGCCAATTAAAAAGGAGAGTCATGTTTCATTTGGATATTTAGGGAGCCTTTGGTTAAACAACTTAATTAAATACTTAGTCAATAAACTCTTACAAAATGAAAGCTTATTTATAAATTTGTTTGCAAAACTTAATAAACTAAAATGAGCTTATAGGAAGCTTTCATTGGCCCAAGTAAGCACTGTAGAGGTTTTTCCAACCCGAAATTTGTATCTCTCCATCTTTCGCTAAAGGAGTTTCAGCAAGAGCTGATTATTTCAGAGACCACCTGTGTTTTGAAAAACTGTTGCGAAGACTTTAGATGGTTCCATTTCTTTCAAAGGAAGGTTGTAATTTCAAGGATCTAGGGAACTAGACATTCCAAATATGAAAGTTGATTGTGAATACCATCTAGGTTTTAGTCACTGCTTGACTAGGTCTCTTGCCGGTGGCTGAAGGTAAATTGGGCGCAGGCCTAAAGCACCCATTTCAGTCCTTAAATAGAGTATTAGAAATTTCCTGTCTATATATATATATATATATTCTTTGATAGGATATCTCATTCATATAACAAGAGCTTCAGTTATGAAAAGTCACATCAATCAAGTATTCATGAGGTTTAAACTTCATATTATAGAGAACCTAATATCTTAGGTATTGCAATCCATATAATGCAACCAATATATTTTTGCTTCCAAACAGGCATGTAACAAATAAATAAACAAAGCTACACAATGTATGATTATGTTTTGACACACCGTTCCTTATATGAAGAATCTTGGGTACGCCAAGTGAAGATACATGGCCTGGAGTGACATCATTGCCTGATTTTAAATCAGCCTTTCCCAAGTGGCTGCCTAGGGTAATAAAATGAACTGTCTTTACCTTGCTTTTAATTAATGTTGAATTTTCATTGCTATATGAATTTAGCCTTATTTTGTACTATGCAGGACCAGAAAACTGTGGTTCCAAATCTTGACTCTACTGGTCTTGATCTTCTTTCTGTAAGTGGAACATCATGTATAATATTTTTACATAATAGAAGAAGTAAAATATTTATCTATTATGGTGATAAAATGAATAAAGTTATAATTTCATCATTAATGAAGAAAGTACTTTCTGCTCTGTTGAGAATCGGAATAAAACAAGAAAATGCATTTTGAAGCAGTAAAAAAAGCACAAGTATCAAATGGTAATCTTTCTCACAACACAAGGTTCCAGATGAGTACGACTTATATTTGGCACAATGATGACTGATTGTTTATAAATCTTTCATTATTTGGAATTTAGAAAGGTTAATTATGCAAACTGTTGATATTAGATCTCAAATATTCCCTTGTGATTGCTATTCTAAGCTAACCATTAGTAATGTTCAACTCTGTTAAGTTTTGAACTAAAAAGATTGGGAGTGGGAAGGTGATTATTCTTGGTTTGCCTCATTAATTTGATAGGGAGAGTTGACCTCACCTAGTGGGATAGCTTGCTTGTATTAATTTGAAAGGGAGATACTACTGAAGGACCCCGAATGGATAATTTTTACTTTTTTTAATAATGTTGTTCCCTTCAATGGTATCAAGCAGCTCTTTAATTGTCATCTGTACGGTGGGAGTATTCCAGTACTCGATTTTATCATATAATGAAAAATCTCGTAACATTTGATTTTACTTCATATTATTATTCAATTCTCTATATCAATCCATATTTTGCATTTTTTGAGTTTTCTTTGTTTTAGATAGTAATATGCCAAAGTTTTATGTCCTTCCTAAAAATTGTTTTCTTAGATTTTCTCTTGTGCTTATTTTCGAGATTTATGTTGTATTCCAGTGTATGCTTTGCTTGGATCCCACCAAAAGAATCACTGCCAGGAGCGCTCTTGAGCATGAATACTTCAAAGACATTAAATTTGTACCCTAATTTCTTACATTCACGGCAGTGGTGTCTATATTACTGTGTAGCATCTATGATTGACTCTCAGAACTGTGTGCTCCTTGCTATTTCCTTCAATGCTTTGGGACCGAATCATATTTCATTTATTTGTTTCTACAGAATCATTTTATATTCTGCTTGAGTGTGATCATATTGCCTATTACCCTTTTAATGTATTAGTCTCTACAACGCAACAAGCAAATTTTAAGTTTGCTTGATGTGTTACAGTTACAGATATAGTGCTGAATGCTGCTAGTAAAACAAATCATTACTCCCGGGAAGCATGTAAATTTGACTTCCGTTCTCGCCCCGGTGAAATGTTGATCTTTTTTTCTATTGTCACCATTATATCATCAAAATACATTTTTATTTATATATTAAAATATTAACAAAAATTAAACACTACAATTAAAAAGGATCAGACTGTATAAATTCATCATTATATATTAGAATTAGTTATGTTTTGATGTTGAAAATATTTTTAATGTAGTTTGTATTTATTACCTCTTCTAAATATGACTCTTTTTGGGATTTTATAATTGTCTTTTTTATAGGACCTTTTGCAAGTTTTATATTAATTAGTTTTTGCCAAGATATCTTAGGTAGAAACAATAATTAATTAGGCAGAAAAGAAGAAAATTAGTCAATAGTTTTAAGATTTTGAAAAAAAAAGTTATTGATAAATTTAATGTTATTAATAAGATTAGTTATATTTTTTAATCCTTATAAAGTACTTTTTTGGTCTCATTAATTGCTGTTTTATCACTTTATTTATCTCAAATTATTTATCACTTTTTAATTTTTTTTCCAATAATACATTTATTTATTGATGATAGTTTTTGTCAATTAATAATTACTAAAATAACTTTAAAATTAGTTATTGCTTAATTATTGTAATACTTTTAGCACTTTTAATAGGAATCTTTTAGTAAAATTAATTTTTCTCATCATAATAATTAGTCGATTTAATTATTTTTAATATGTGTATATTAATAGTAAGTGATGATTAATATGAGATGGATGAAGTAGTTAAAAAAAAGTATATTTTAGAAAGAAAGAAAAAACACTATCTTTTGTCTAGATCTGATGACATATACGCCTATGGTAAACTTTCCAATTGGTGAAGCTCAAATTATTTGAGGAAAGCAGACAGCGTAAAATGCGTACATGAATTACTAAAATTATCGACAAAAATAAAATTGATAGTCCCGATGTTTCCCACTGGAAGCATTACCATTTTATCTGGGAAGGATGGCATCACAGAAGCATCTGACAAGAAACCCACCCTGTTTGTTGTTTGTTCCATCCACAACATCATGGACTTGCTAAATGATTTATACATATCGCCTGAATCAACAAACCCTTGCAATCTTACTATTTTGAATTATATCTTAGATATCAAGTTCAGACGTAAAAATGAAATGAAATGAAATTAGTTTAACTTAGTTTTAACACACATTAAACTTAATTTTTTCAAAAACATTATTTTAATTTCTTTCCAATGATTTACATTCTATTATCGTTACCGTTATCATTATTATTATTGTTAATGAATCTAGATAGTCATTGTTACTATCGTAGTTATTATTATTATCATTAATCTGTTATTACTTTTGTTGGTGTCTTTTATTATTATTCTTACTTTTATCACTGTAACTGTTATTAATGTTAACCTTTCGATCATAAGCAAAGTGATTAATAAGCTAAGTAAATATATGTAGGGTAAAATAAAAATTTGGTACTAAGAAATATTTTTCTATCTTAATTACCTAATTGAACCTCTCGCAATTTAAGAACATGGTGTATATAAGAGTAATTAATAAGCGATGTTACACAGTGTGGAGTAGTGGCATAAGATGTGCTACAAGAGCATAAAGATAACTATAGTAATAAATTCTGGTGTGTCTCGCTACTGTGACGTAAATATGCCCCACCATTAACACTGTGTTGATGCAAAACTCTTTAGAACAGAATGGTCTTAACCAAGATTGGTTATCGATTAACATTGCCGCAAATAATCAGGAACATAATGCATATTCTGTGAAACAAGTTGAATGCGAAAGCATAAGGTAGCATGGTACAACGTTGCCCACATTTTTTACCCGCCTTAAGAGCTTCTTCATGAAGCAGTGGAATCTTTTCATTAGTGCGGGTCATTCAACTTCGATTCTGCTGCATGAATACCATAAATCAAAGGGACAAAAACAGTGAAACTAGATATACTCCCCACCATTCAACATATGGGACCAATTCTCAACACCACAAACTACGAACTCCCTGGAAATTAAATGTTATCCACTCGTAAATATAATAATGTAATAAGAGAAAATTTGCTCGAGATAACATGATCACTCGATGTTGAGCTCCAACGTAATTGTTACTTGAGTCATTTTTTGTGTAGCATTTTTATATACACACGTACTTATATTATGTATTCTTCAACACGCATTAAACAAATTATTTTATAGAAAAAAAATCATCATTAACTTAATCATTTTTAGTGATACTAAATGACTACTCAAATAAGCAGTATTTTCATTCTTATTTATCAATTTAGAGAGAAAAAAGATTACATAGATAAAAAAAATTCAATCATTTTGTTAAAATTCTTATATGAGCGAAGAAGTATTGGTGAAAAATAATAATTGATATTATCTTGAATTTTTATATAGACAAATAAATAAGAACAAATTAAAAATTCATAATTTTTTTGGATAGATAAATAAGAATGGATTAATAATAACCATACGTTGATTTCAAAACTTAAATATTTAATATCAATAAAGCTTGATACAATGGATAAATAATTGAGTTTATTATATTTGTTAATCATGTTCAATTCTTCATCAAGTGTATATGATTTAAAGACTCTGTTTAAAGATGAACTAAAAAATAATTAGTTTTAAACTGTTAGTTGAAAGATATCAATAGTGCATAAAAAATTAATATAAAAATTTATTCATAATTATTTGTTAGTTGACATAAAAATTAACTACTTAATTAATAAAAAAATTAATAGTTATTTACAAATGTATTTTCAAAACATTGGGTTAATATAAATTTTGTTTCCAACTATTAACTGGCAGTTAATACCAAATGATCATTAATGAAAAGGAAGTTTTGAATAAAATAGGTGTTTATAAACACATGATTTTATACTTAAAATTTATTTATATTTTAAAAATATATTATGAATTAAATTAAAGTTATTGGATGAAATGTCAACAAATTATTTAGTTATATGATTGTTTTTTGTTTTTTTTTTTTGCTATTAGTTATATGATTGTTTTAAACTTAACATACTTAATAAAAAAAATTAATTTAACTAATAAATTTGTGAAAGTTCAACTTTTATAAAGGATTATTCAATAGAATAATTTTGATATGAATTAATCTTTATTCTTGTGTATGCGCATAGAGCGCAAGTAAAATTAAAATTAAAATTTTAGATGAATAATTTTGTTGTAATTTCATTTTTATATTGGGTTGCAATTTATTAGTATCTTATATATATCATTGTGTTTGAATTTAGATAGATGATTTTTTATTTATTTTTGTACCTTATTTAATGTAATTTTTAATATTTTTATCTTATAATGATATTTATGTTTTATTAATTTATAAAAAATATAAAAAAAATCATATTTCAGTTAAGAAATTGTGAATAACGAGACATAAATGAAAACTTAGGTACCGTATAATATGAAAATGAAGAATAAAATTGGTATCCACTTGAATGTAAAGATGAGTAAGGATATTTTTTCAAAAACACAAATATAGGGATGGATGCTATGGTACTTTACCCAAATTTATCCATCCATGTTTCTTAAAGGTCCTTGCCACTAATTCTCTTCAACAAAAATCCAATTATTTTAATTAGTTTTTTTAAAAAAAATTGAAGGTATTAGTCTTCACGCTTTTCTATATAATCCTTTTATTTGTTTTAAGTAATTAAAAACTGAGCTAATAAAAAGTTTAGATCGAAGGATGAATGTGTAGCATATTGAAAAACAAATAAGCAAGAAGAGAATAAAAGTACCTGTATTAATCAAATTCATATTCATCCACAATAGTTTGCAAATTCCATAATGTATAGAATTTCTTAAAACTTTCCCATTCAGCTATATAAAGAGCAAAGCTTATTTAGAACGAAAATTCAGTATTAATTAGACATTAGACTGATAAGCAACTAATGATGACCACACTTGGTGCATCTGTAGCCCTACCACATCACTAATCATAGAACATATCCTATCATTTTACACCATTACCCAAACACATTAATCATAATAAACTAATTAAACACACACTATGATGAGAAATACGAAACCGCAGCAGCCATAGGAACTGTCCCATTTGAATTGGACAACTGATGATGATGAACAAAATCACCACCATACCCTGAATAATGCATATGATCTCTTGAACCCATCTCATCATGATCAAGCCCACTTTGTTGTTGTTGATGATGTTGAGGTTTCCTTCGTTTCTTCTTCTCATAAGCTATTCCTCTAGCCTTGGCTTGAGCATCCCTCACTTCCCTAAGGTAAAGTCTCACCGCACGTGCGCCAAAAGGGTTCATCTCCGGCGTGCCACCGTTCTCTTCAAACGCCGCACGCAACCGACCTATGAGCGCGTCGAGGCTACCCCATGCTTGCTTCAGTGGACACGGACATGGACCAGGTGGGTGCGAGTTACCAAAGTACGCGCAGGTTTCAGCGTGCACCTTGGTTTTCCCGAACTGATCCAAGTAGCGAAGGAACTCTAGCACGTGTGCACCGCTGCAACGTGAGAGAGTTAACGGTGGACGGTGGTTTTTGAGGTATTGCCCAAAGGTGTTCCAGTCTCGTCTCTTTTGTGATTCGTACCTGCTCAAAGGAGGAGGCACTACACACGCTTGTTGCACTCTTTGTGATGATGTTAATGGTAATTGATCATCTCTATGTTGGCTCTCCGAGGAGTTGTGGTACCCCGACATCGCCGCGGCGGCGGCGGCGGCGGCGGCGGCAGCCACGGCGGCGGACATGTTGAAGTGTTTTTATTTTGGTGATGAATATTTACTATGAAAGAAAAATAAAAATAAAAATTATTGTTTCGGTTCAAGGCAGAGAAAATGTGTAATATAATATATTGTATTGCACTTCCTTCTTTTTTCTGCGAGTTTAGGTTGGGAGTTTGGGATATGTGTGTGTGATTGTGGAGTGTTTAGTGCAATATGTGTTTTTATGTTTTGGAGGGTTTTGGTGGGATATTTATAAAGGTTAATTTGAGGTATGTGGTCTTTAGGCACTGTTGTTCAGGTGGGTTTGGTTGGGTTTGTCTAAAGCTAGCTAGCTGGCTTGGAGAAGGAAAATTGAAGTCGGTGATCTTCATCCCCCTATATGGTCAAAGGGAAAGAGATAAGTTTGGTGTGATTTTGATAACATGGATGGATCCAGGTGAGAGAAGATGACATAGGTTGAAATTCTTGCTCTTGTTAGCCAGGCCTTTACTCAATCTAGTGGAGAAGAAGGGAGAAGGGTGGGAGGTATATAGGGAGGTAGGGAAGTAGGGAAGAATGGTAAGGAATTTATAAAACTTAAGCAATACTAAGAAGGGAGGATTTAAGGCTGAGGATGAGGCATAGGCTGAGTAGGGGTAGGCAAGTTTCCTAGCTATAGGGAGACAAGAGAGGGGTCCATGCATTAGAGAGCAAGTGATGGCAGTTTGAATTTCACTTATAAACGTCTATCTCAATCATTGATCGCCCTTGTTTTCTTTTCCTTCCTCTATGGCTTTAAGGGGGAGAACAAAACAAAAGCTAGCGGGGAACTTGTATTGGCCTACCTCTTTTAAGTAAAGTAAGTACAACTTGTATTAGACCATTTTACTGGATTGGTAATTGTCAATTTGCACATGGAGCCTAGCTAGCTACACTTTTTAACAACTATACTAAATGGGTTATTACTTTGCACTTGCAGGCGCCACCAGCCAACATTTTCGTCCACCGTGCTTGAACCGATCGATTAAGTTCAGTTTGTATGTTATTTTCTTTAATCCAAAACTTAATAATCATACTAACATCTACCTAATCTAGCTTTCAAGACAATGACTTACGATCCACGCATGCATACATCACATGATTTTTTCACACTCTCCTTTAGAGCGTACATGTCTTGAGTGGGAAAAGAGGAAAAATGATAGATCTAATGAATGAGATGATGCGAAAGAATGGGGATAGAGAGACGTGTAAGGTGTCCAATATCCTAAAAATGTTTATATCGACCTTGAAATATATTACACTATCAAATATTAATATTATCTTAGTTAATATAATTTTTTCTTATAATTAAAGTTTTATCATAAATATTATGAATTTATATTAATAACAGGATGTATTATATTAACGAAAGTAATTACAATGTTTGCCAATAATAATTTATTTTTGTAGTGTGACAAAATAGGTACGATTGTCAGGTTTACCCACATAAGATTCATACATAAAAGTCACATGTCAATTTTTCACGTTTGAAACAAGTCCATGTCGCCATATTACATAGACCTGTGACATATAAAAACTTGTCGCATAACTTGTGTGTGTTAATTTTTAAAAAAAATGAACTTCATGTACAAATAGGCATCGCATTGGTATTGTCACATGATAAACACTCATTTGTTTTTTCTTTTTTGTGAGATAATGTCCGCAAAGTGCAACATATATATCCCAAAGAGTACATTATTGTTATATAACTTTGCTTGAATTTGCATTTTAATAATAATAAGGGGGTAACCAAAAAAAAAATAAAATGAAATCGTTTGATGCGTAGTAAACATTTATTATATCCTAAAGGAGTACATTATTTTTATGATTACATTTTTTAACAAATCGTTTATAAAATTAATTCTATTCAGGTAAATAAAATCTTATTAAGATTTTTCTCTTTCTCTAAGAGGATATATTAACAGTTCAGGCATTGGTTTCCCAAGTTTCACTCTCCTGATCTTGAGATGTTATCCTATCCCCCAACGATTGAAAGGGTATATAAATTATCAATTCGATTATAGAATGGAAGGAAAATTTAATCTTCACAACTTGAATAAGGTCATTATTGCGTTTTGGAGCAAGCCGTGTCATAATGACAACAAAGTAAAAAAGATGAACATAAAACATGATATAACTTTAATCCATGCTAATTTTTACTTGGGTAAAAGAAATAGAATTCTTGAAATTAACGAATTAGATTTAGGAATTTAATTTAATATATAGGTATAGCAGAGATAAAACATCAGAGTTACTTGCAACCTATAACATATGTGTAGATCCAAAAGAAAAACTATCTAGATGTTCACAAGATGTTAGGTCAAAATGTATTCTTTTATTTATTTGGCTGTTGGGAATAGAAAATGTTTGATTTATTCCTTAATAAAGACAAGCAAAAAAGGAATATAAAATAAAGAGATATGATTGCTCACGCGACATAAGAGATTAAACATGAAAGAATTAAAATTAGGTAGAAAGAATTAAAATTAAAATTCTTTTTAAAAATAAAAAACAAACATGCCCTAAGTTCTTTTCTTTTAGAAAGTTCCATGTATAAAGATATCATTTGATAGATTGAAAATGTCTTTTTAAACCTTTATTTTTTTTAAATATATTCACCGTTTTTTTCTTTAACTCTTTTTCGTTGCTTTCTTTTTCCTACTTTTCCCCCTCTCTTACGCTTTGATCATTAGTGTTCTTTGTGGTGATTTCTTATTTGAAACTGATTAGAACCATCATTGTCGTAAGTACTATTCCGACTATAACAAGACAATCGAGGTTTTTAGTATTGTTTTATAGTCTCTTAAACATTTTGATGAAAATCACTAACGATAATTGTAAAAATTGTTATATGGTCCATGGATGTAAACCAGTAAGAGAAGCACTCTCTTTCAGTCGCTAATATGCAGAACCTTTCTTGAGCAAAATAGGCATGTGAGAAAGCTGTCAGATCTGGAATATATAGCTCTTAAGGTTGATAAGGTGACTGCTACAAGAAAGACCCAAACCCAAAGTTTCTATATATACAACCAAGATATCGTACAACTGGATAGTACTTTCATTTATCTTCTGCCTCATTTTTTTTAAATAAAAATTTATATATAATCATTTTTATAAATAAAAAAAACCATAGAAATCTAATGTATTAATAGTATTAAATATTATAATTTTAATAAAATTTATTATTGATTTATTTCTTATTATATTACCTTGAATATATGTTAACAAATTATTTTTCCATCTCGATCTCTTCTTATCAATCGATCACTTCTCACATTTTTTTTCTCTATTTTTTTCCCCTTTTCTTTCTATTTCTTTCTTTCTTCCACCTCCTACTACCTAAAAATAGACTGTACAACAATATATTTTCCCTTCATCATAATACTATTTTAAAAGTTAAACAAATAATGGATCAAGATTCCATTTTTATACAAAACAGCGTGGGATAGAAATTTTGAATGAAATTTCTGCAAATCTATCTACAAGAAGAGCAAACGCTGCAGCAAGAACATTATTTATTCAAAGTGAAAAAAAAAAAAAACTCCTACTTTGTCAACTTAATTAACAAAGTAACAGGACATCATTAGAATAATCGATAGGCCTGTGACTGCCAGGTTGCACTTGTGTCAAGTCATAGCCTATGATTAAGATGGCCTTTGCCATTTAAACCAAGTAAGCAGTCATTAGTCGTCATTGAGATCATGTCATCAAACAAAGTCGTCGACTTGTCTTTTCAAAGTCTCTTTTAATCTTCTCTGCACCAAATCAATCAAAGCTGAAATTTCCTTTTACCCCATGTTCTGATCCTTGAGATGATGCTATATTTTTAGATCTATTTTATTATTTAAACTACTAAAAATTAATACTGCAATAATATTATGTAATTATTTTTATCTTTCAATTACTTTTTATCTTTTTTTATATATAAGCATTATAAAAAATTTACCCTAAAATACAATGGAACATCTAAAGATATTGCCGTGCGGATCTACCAAACAAGTTTCTATTTTTAGACCAAAAGCTACTTTTGATCCAATATATCAAAGAAAATTCTTGGGGAAATTGGTGGTATGCCTTGGCTGGTTGACAATCACAGGCACGGCAATCATAGACATTACAAGACCCATTCCAATTAGTCTAATTACCGGAGCACTCACAGAAGAGAAAATAAAAGAAAAACATACAACTTTAATGTTAAGAGATTTTGTCTTTATTCATCAACTCATAAACTAATTTTATTATTTTTTATGGATAGAATTACAAATTTATTATAATTTTTGTATAAATAAGATTACAGACCTTTCTAATATATAACTACCCAAGTTTCAAATATATTCAAAGGACAACACATTAAGGATAAAACACATATTAAACTCATATTTATAAAATTATACATTTTTCTTTTTCAATTTTTTTAACATGAAACTTCAATGAATATTATTCACCTTGCACAACACAACTTATCCAATTCCAAGACAAAAATATAGTTAAATAATTGAAACAATGTGTAAAAATATGCATTAAAGATTCAAATAAAGATTTTTAGTGAATTGGAAAACCACGACAAATAAATATTCTACCATACAAAGTTGATAAGAAATTGCCCTCATCGAAACGCCGCAAATAAGGTTAAAGTTACAGACAGCAATAATAGCAACGAAAGTGTCTTCAAACTATAGCCTTCCCAGAACAATGTAATTTTGCAATTACAATGAATATAACCATTGAGTAATGTAACATAGGCTTATAACATCCCTCCAGCACTTTTCTCTTTTTTGTCAGTGGCATATAGATCCGCATAAACTTAGCTTTATGATGGCCCATTTGATTTTTTATTCTGCAGATTTGATTGATTTTCGCCAGATTGATAATGAAAATTAACATCAGCAGCGAAATTAATGAGCTCGAAATTACAATGTAATTTCATTGGTTGTGCTTGGATCCAAGCCTTGTTCTCTGCTTTTTGGGATCCTAGGCAAGAAACTCAGCAGTAGCATCTGTAATAACTGAATAAAACTTGTAAGTTAAACCCTCTTCCAATTTTGTATAGATAGATCAAGGTCCACAGAGTTGGCTATTAATTGAAACACATCAATGAAACTTTGAGAACTTGGATATCGTTAACCCTGATTTTTTTTCTCCTATAATACAGATTCTTAGAAAGTTTGGTACATAATTCCAGTTGAGTTTTCCTATAATTTCTTTCTAACTAGCTACTTGTTAACCAGTTACCTGAATTGAATTGGAAGCAGCGTATCATCATCCAAGTTAGTGTTATGCACAAGCAAACTTATAATCGGTTTGAAACTACACATTTCAACTTGCTTTTATAGATGATTAACAATCCTGAGCAACGGTGATACTTATTAGAGGACAGTGAAATAAACGTAAATCATGAAAACTAAATTATAGCCCATATAATTTTAAAAATAATGCTGAAACCTAAAGAAAAAAAAAAGGATAAGTATAATATATTTAATTAGCAAAGCAGATCACACCTAAGAAGTATAATCACTCAAATTCTAAGGAGGGGAAAAGAAACACAAAATTAGCACAAGAAATTTTTGAGAATTCACACTATAATAGTCAATTATGTCATTACTACAACAATCCTTCTCTTTTCTCCACTTTTGTAGCCTCAAATTGCTGTGTCGAACCATCTTTTTGCCTTGCCACTGTTCATGTCAAAAAGGCTGGCTTTTGGTTCTTCCAACAAAGCAAGTTCTCTTTCCAACGTGTGGGAATGAAGTTGATCAGCATTTCAGAGCGATTCCTGAGGAGGTGCAAATGGAGTCTTCCTTTGTTACACCAAATTCACAGTAGCAACTACAGACGGCTCTAACAAATTAGCTTATCTAGTTTAGTTTTACCTGAAATCGACATTAGTCAAGGAAGGAAGTGAGTTATGCAAACAGTTAAATGGCTCAAATTTTTGTGAAAATAGGTGGTCTTATATTATATTCCATTAACTTGCCTCAATTCCCGTCATAATATAAGAAATCAGAAAAGATCTGTATGAATGAAAACATATACGATACTATGTTATATAAATCGAAGATAGTTTACATAAGATAAAAAAAGAAAGGCTTCAGAATGCAAATTTACTAAACATTGTCAGCACAATTCACTTTTTCTGTCTTTATTATTATTGGGTTTATAAAAATGAATATATTGTTTTAAGCTTATTGGTATACGAAAAATAAATCAGTGCACTCGTAATAATATGATCATTAGCCACCTTCATTCCTATCCAGTTTGGTTGCCGAAGAAACCGATAACGAATGAAGGCAGAGTGAGATTTTGGTGAAGTTTTTGTTTTCAGCGTTCGTGGTTTAGAGTTACATTTTCTTGACAACCTGTTATCTGTCGTCGTGAATCTAAAACTGCAAATGTGTTGTTCAATGTTTGAACAGTAGCATGACAAAAACAAAAGTTTGAATAGTGGTAAGGATTCTGCGGCCATTTAGGATCCTTGGACTTGAGTGCATGGAATTTCCCCCAGCAAAATTTGGGGTTTGAAAGAGCCACCAGTAGTGGTGATCCTCTCATAAGCTAGGAATGTACATGGTTTGCCGGAGTTCGTAGTCAATATAATAACTGAAACGGCCAGTTAGCAACTGTTCAATCCTGGGACCCTCTCGTGACAATCAACATTTTGTCAAAGATTTCATAAAATCAAATGTATACATGAGTGAATTCACATTGGAATGTGCAAATGTAATAGGAGGAAGGTAGGAATGTACATGTAAAAGAAAATACAACATGATTGAAAAATAAAAATGCCCAGCTTTTGATTTTCCTGTTTTGGGGGAAGAAAACCCTTCAAATGTTATTAAGCCACCACTGTATGGTGCTAAATTTTCTAATCTGATATATACCTAAGAAACTTGTCCTTTTCCAACCTCCTGTTTCATACACAATCTTCAACTATCTCCGATCCTTGCATGTGCTTCTCTACGTCTACGCCTCCTGCCAGATCGGCCCAATAATACTCTGCCACCACCATGGCGGTGGAGACGGCTAACCAAAGATACCCCATCATCATTACCTTCATTGTACCTGCTATTATCATCGTCTTCATCTGAGATATCCATCTCTCCAGCCACATTCTGACTTGCTACCCTGTTGGGAATCAGCTCTGGCCTCAGCCGCCTACCAAGGTTGTTAAGGTCATTCCCTTGTCGAACTGCATGCAACAGGAGGAAGAAATTCATCGCCTCTATACCCATCTGAAATCTTCCATTTCTTTCTGCATTATCGGCACCCTCCTCTTCATCTGTATCAAAGTCATTATTATGGTGACCTTCTATAACATAATCTCCAAAAACCACTGCCCCAGGCATTGTTGATGTTACTGTGCTGATAACATCTTCCCGTTCACGCTCCCACTCAAGCCATCTCCATTTTTGTTCATGAGCAGGATCTACCATCCGTGGGCGTGCCAAGGGATGCTCTGCTTTCACATGCTTCTTCAACTCTTTATAGTTGCCAACATACGAGCAGTCATCCTGCATGCAGCTTCTTTTCTTTGCATTCAGGTAGTCCCGAACAGGTTCCACAACAGTCCAACCTTTCACCTGACCCCTGCATAAGGGGCATGCAAGCTCTGTGACTTCACTCTTCTCAAGAGGCAAGTTCGAATCTTGTAGCACACCTGGAGTATTGATCGAGCCTTGCATGGGTTGTCTGCTAGATGAAATTACTTTAGTGTAAGCTTTCTTGTACTGATCAAGGCAGTTGGAATGTCGGAAGCTAGTTCCACACATGTAGGGACGACAACCCTTGTCATGAGAAGAACAAAGAAGAAGAACAGCATTGTGTGGATATTCCATGCACACAGAACACGTCACATCTTCCCACTCTTTCTTATCCAAACCTTTAGAACATTTCTTTTGGCACATATCCTCACAAATATCCCTCTTGCAAGAAGCCAGAGGGTACGGAGTCAATCTGTACTGACGAGAAGCAATCCTATGTCGTCCCCTGCTACCTTTTGCCATTTCCAATATTCCAACAGAACCTGGAATATGAACTGCCAAAATGTTAAAAGGAAACTCTGATTATAGGGATCCAGATTCCAGATATTAGGTTGTCAAAATTCAAATTTGTTCATATATTTTTCATGTAGACAGAAAGTAGTCATCAAACTTACAAATTATTTAAGATAAAAAATACATCTGTAATTACAAACAATGTGTAACTGTGTTTGGGTATAATGTAATGCCAATCAAGAATTCGTACACCAGGAAAAAATAAAAAACTGAAGGCAAGGTGCAGACAGAATAGAAATCCAATTTACCCTCATGCACAAATCAAGAATGAACAGAAAAATGTCATTTTTTACCACATTATGCAATCATGCTTTCATTTTCTGCAGTGAACCCCAACCCTTTGCAACATGTAGTAAGAAATCTTCAATTTTTCAATATACATATTTATTAGAAAGGGGAGAGTACAAAAAGATTGGAGGAGAATCTATCCTCCGAAGATCCTACAAATAAATTAGATACTTCACTACAAAAGTTCTGGCCTAGTTTTGACAGAAAATTCAATTCAATCATTCAATGGAAAAAGTGATCTGACCCTCCCAGATCCATTATGTGAAAACCACTAATAACCAAGTTTAGTGCATAAGTTTGTCACACCAGCACTCATTTATTTCTACTGCCAATTTGACCAGTGCCTAAGCAACATCAATTTAAGAAGAAAAAAAATGAACAAAAAATAACACCATGCACGACACACTAAATATTAAGTTTTAAGAAGAAAACTCAGACTTGCACAACGTGATTTTACAATTATGGTATGTCATTATGCGACAGCAAGATCAATGAATTTGACAGACATATGGGAACACAAAGGGCAGAGTCATAGCAACAATCAGCTCCAGTGTAAGTGATTTAACAAGCTAGCCCAACAATCCAATGGTCTTCTTGCAGAACCAAGTTGGTGTGCTATAGCCAGGACCAAAGATCCCACACAGAAGTGTAAGATCAAGTGAACCTATGAGGAAGATCACCATCGTAACAACCTCGTCCAATACAGAAAGAAGAAGAAAAAGACAGTTTTCTCCTTCAGGACCAAGGTTTCTTTTCATACATTACATGGGCATCTTTGTTAGCCAAACATTAAATGGATGACCAGCCCACAAAATGGTGGCAGCAGATGCATGTACTAAGGCTAGTGTGAAATATTATGCTCTCCAATACCAAGGCTAAAACTTTCACAAGTACCTTCCCACACTTAATGCCAAAAAGGTGAATGCCAAAAAGGTGGTAGATAATTAGTGAACTTCTAATGACTGTAGATCAATTTACACATAAACCAACACAAAATACTTCAATTCTTGACAACAAATTACATGAAAATATTTTTCTTTGGCCATGGCAAAATGCATCATCATGAACGTCTAAATTAATAGTACAATTACTTCTATTGATATTAAATCTAGAACAATCTACTATTTCTTTTGGATAAGAGAACTCATTATATAGGAGAAGGAATAAGGAAATAGCAGATGAGGCATCTTCTTAGAAGAAGCCAGCGAGAATGCCTTCTCATGTCTAAATCATAATAAATCAAAGATGCAATCATTCAAAATCATGGCAAACCATATTTTATTTGTCTATTTTGACATTATTATTGGACTTTGAAAACAGCTCAGAGAGGTACTAGCATGCCCAACCGTGACCATAATACCAAATTTATTTCTGCTAGGATAATAACCCAAAGATGAGCATATATCAATAATCCCGTATATTTTTGCAGTTGAAAATACGACATGTGGTCTTGTGCCACTAGACCATTAACATAAACCAGATAGTTAGCTCTAACAATGAAGTGACGTTATCATAGATTCAGTTAAAAAGTTGATTTGAGAAAACTTCTCTTCCAACAAAATTGAGGTCCGAGCATATAATAACCAGTCTCATGAAAGGGATTGTACGGATTCTAAATGAGAGGGAGAAAGGAAGAAACTAGCAGGGAATTAAACCAACTCCATAATGAGGCAAATTTTATAAACAAGTTAACACTTATACTGCTTCTGATTGAACTTAAAGAAACAATGTAGTAACTTATTTGCCTAAATCAAGCTGAATTTGAAACGAACACTTAGCTAACCTAGCAAGTTAACATACTGAAGATGAAGAAAACATATATACATGTGGACTACGCGCTCAATGCAATGCAATCACATACAAAAAGAAAGGCAATTGCTGGAAATAGCCCCATTCTGTCAACTTTATAGATTGCTGAAAAGAAAGTATGTAATGCATCAAAACCAGAAAAACTCACCAACTCGCAATTGGAGTAATGAATCCAACAATTTAGTTTGAGAGACCAAAGTGCATCTGGCAATAAATAATTGAACAGCAAGAAAGCAAACAAAGTAAGAGATTCATATAAGTCGGTCACAAGGAAGTAACGTGGTGAGAGGCAACAGCTAGCAAAGACAACTACCAAAGTAACATTAATATAATATTAATCAGAACATGGAGTTAAGATAAGAAGCACATGCAGCAAAACTATACGCATCCATCTTAGATCCAATCATCCCACCTAATCCATATATTTTTTTAATCCAAAAAAAATTAAGCAGTAAAAATAGGGATAAAACAAAAAATGCCCATCTGTTTGAAAGCCGAGAAAACTAACGAAAATGGGAGAAAGATTGAAACTTTCAACTTCGGAGCAACAAAGCACATCCAACGAGGTATCCTTTCCTCAATTGTCAGTTAAAAATAATTTTAAAAAAAACCCACGGGTTAGCAAATTTTAAGAATGATCGAATGCTACATACACGATTCGAAAATTGGGCAACAACAATAAAAAAAAAAAAAAGAAGCGGAAACTAAAATGAAAGACGAGAGAGAGAGAGGGTGAAGGAATAGTGTTCGTACCAGGCGGTTAGGAAGAAAATGAAATTGGAAATAAAAAACGAAGCGAATTTGAAGGGAAAAACAAAGAGAGAGGGAGAGAGGGAGAGAGGGAGAGAGAATAAGGTTCTCTAGCAAAGGATCGAAAGCAAAGGCGAAAGAATCGAGAGGGAAATGGAAGGGGAGAGAAGCTTCTCTCTCATAATCTACTGTTTAAGAGAGAGAAAGTTGAGAATCGCCAACTTGGAGTCATTTCTACGCTACAACCCCCCTCCTTTGCTTCCCTTCCTATCACTGTGTCACGCATTCTCACCCACACGCGCTCCTGAAGCGAGTGCCTCCACGCTCTTGCGTAACTGACCAACCCTGAACGTGACTTCGTACTACAAAGTGCGCCTTCACGTGCTTCCTTTCCCAAAAACCAGAAGGATCAAAGCATATTCCCATCATAACATTTATAAATTCCTTCCGCCTGGTACTTTTTTTCCAAAAAATATCAGAATTATAAATATTGCTAAACAAATTATAATATATTGTAAAAGATAAAATTTTAATAATAAGAATCTTACAATCCGTAAAGAATTATTAGATTGGCCTAACTTTACCCACCATAATTTTATTAATCTCACTTGTTTAGACTAATTTTAAATATTTAAAATAGTAATTTTTATCGAAAATATTTATTATATTACAGATACAAAGACATAATAAATGTTATTTTTAATTAAAAAAATTACTATTGTTAATTGTTTAAATTCAACCTTTTATATACCGATAATAATAAGAACAAAAAATACAGCTTTTGACGCTTAAATTTAGTAACTTTAAAAAGAAAATTTGATACAACAATCAATCAGTTAATCAATTCCGTACAAGAAAAGGGCTCCTCTTGGTCCATGGAACTCCAGCATTGTCGTCATCACGTCGTGACCATATTTTGCTGCTTGATTATTGAATCAATTTCAAAATGCATTATGGACTTGATGCTTCGTCATACATTGTAATTTTGAACTGAACTACTTGTTTGACAATTCAAGCACAAGTATGTTGTTAAGGAGTCGCATTAGCTTGTTTTGGTCTTTTCCTACCAACGATGAACAAGTTAGCGCAACCAAAAGTTATTATGAATTTGTAGCTACCATGGTTCTTAGGAGGACCACCCAGCAAACAGTACCTTATCACGTGCCACATACTGTGACTTTACCTCCTACAGCAAATAAGTCTCGGTGAAAATACAAAATGCATATTTGATTTCAATGTTTTTAGTTATAGCTGGTCTTGAGAGATTGTTGATGTAATGGCATGAGAGATTGTACAAAAAATATATATACAACATCATTCTCGTGACTAACTTTAATTGTTGCAGCCGCCCCTTTCTTGAGTAACTATTTACATGTTGAGTGGTCATACCTAAGAACAAGTTTCACGAACCAGCAGGCCATTCTCGTGTCAGTAGAACTTTTAAGGAAGAACAATGGCATGAATATAAGCTCCACATAAGATTGAGTAGAAGCAAAGTTACCAGAAGACCCCACAACTCAATCCCAAATGTCCAACAGCTGTAATTAGACATAGCAATCTCCAGGTGGGAGCATCTGTCTCGGAGTAAAGATCAATGATTTAGAAATGAAAAGATCCATCTCCTGAATTCTCCGTCCCTCCAGCCATAAGAATATTCACACTGTGAGATAAAGAGGCATTGCTTCTCTCACTCAGCATAAAAGGTGAAAGCTTATGTTAGTGGAACTCTTGATAAAACATTCTCCCCTTTCAATGAACCGGTCTTCACCGAGGGATCAACGTGGTGGCCTAAATAAGAGCAGGTGGGATAAATCAACCAGTTGATAGTTGCGAGGTCCAACTTCAGTAGATATCTGCATACCCATTAACTATGTCCCGGACATTCCACCAGCATAAACCCAAACTTCAGAAAATACAGGATGAATTTGAATTTCTCAGCGCCAATATGAGGTGATCGAGAGCTCTTATAACCGAAAGATATTACTATGTGGAGAATCAGAACTTAAGGGAGAGAGCAATGGTCTCCTTAGAAATGGATGATCCAGTAGCTCAGCTGCAGTTGGGCGTTTGTTTGAGTTAACTTGTAAGCATTTAAGAATGAAATCCCGGGCATCATTAGATAAAGATTCAGGAATAGGTGGAGGTTCACCCCTGCCAATCCGAAATAACGCTTGCATCTGTCGAGGTAGAAAAAAAATATTTGTATACATTATCACCAGTTATCCAATTTCAAAGAGAAGTCTAATTTATCTAGCTTGATAATTATAGAATCTTAGTAACCAACTCTAAAATCCTAAATATTTATAATTCAAAGGTGTGAAAAGCAAAAACAACAGAGGATAAAATTAATCGAGTCTCCATAATAAAGTAATCAAGGAAAAATAGGAAAGTAACAAACCAGATAAGAAAAAAACTGATATAAAAAATGTTACTTACTCCTTCCAAATCAGAGTAAGGAGGCTGCCTTTGCAACATCTCCAAAACTGTACACCCTAAGCTCCATATATCAGCTGCTAGCCCATAACCTTGGTTCTTTAAGTTAACAACCTATTATCCAACAATTCAAAGTTAAACTAGTCACACTCAAAAGCTCAGTAGTATTCATTTGTCAGTTTCTTGAAACATTTCCACTAAATCATAAATGAGTGGAAAAACTACGGATTCAACATTCTGAATCTTCACTCTAGCACTAGAAAATCAACAAAAGCATGTACTGAATTAGACTAATTTATGGGTGGTTGAAATTTATGGTCTTACAGCAGCATTTCACATTTGGGGTATGTACTACAGAGTACAGACAAACAACTGAATTAGACTGCCATACAATTTCATTGTAGTTCATCCCCTTGCAGGAATTATACCAAACAAATAACATGAGAGCAGAGGCAAACCTCAGGGGCCATCCAGTAGGGGGAGCCCTTGCTTGATTTAACATCATTAAATTTTGTTGCCTGAACAGGTGAAAGAACCAAGAACATGAATTATATAATTACATGCTGACAGCATTTGGACTTCATATAATAAGAAGATGAAAAGAGATACTCAGTTTTGTTGAAGAAGGTTACCTTTGCCAACCCAAAATCTGCAAGCTTGACTGACCCACTTACGTCAACCAGTATATTGGAACACTTGATATCCCTTTAAAATTGAATATTTGGGTTAAGACATATAGAATGTAGCAAATCAATGTTATTTCAGAAGTCAATTTCCCAGCACTGCATTCAACTTTCATCTATTGCAGTGATTCAAAGTTAAGCATTTTTCACTATCCAAATTTGTTAAAGCATACTCATCTTTCCAGGCAGGGAATCATATTCCATATATGGTTTCTTAACAACTTTCTTGGTATGCATATCTGTGCAAATAAATCTATAACATATCATCTAATATAAAGCAGAAACATTATAACTGTTGGCAACTCATGGCTAGATCACTGACTTGTTAAAGAAATTTCATTTGCAAAATATTCTCTTAGCCTTAGTCCTAAACAGAAAACTAGCCATTGATGGGTATTAATAGCTTCATTATGATTCTCCCATTCATAATTTGTTCTTGGATTGCCTCAATAATACAATTCAATTGAAAACTTACAAGAACATCAAGTTTCAAGTCACCAGATTATTTACATGACCAAAGTTCATAAGTTACTTCTTAAAGATACCCATTTCAAATTCTTAAATAAGGTTCAAATTAAGATTAAGTTCTTAAACTTCTCATTTAACAAAATCTAAGGTTACTTTTAAAGGAAACCACCATATCATTTTTTTTCTACATTTCCAATGCATGTGAGACTTTGATAACATATATACATACATACATACTCAGAACGGCCACAAAGAACAAACAATGTAAGAGCTAAGGTCCCAACCTCCACAACACATTAGGATTCAAAGATATTCAGAATCAGAATCAATAATTAATGGCGTAAAATCACAACATTTAACAGCAAATATTAAATTCAATCCATCCATAAAAAATCTACAACAAGCAGAAATGGAAAATGAATAAAATCCGTTGTTACCTCCAATATAGAACCTAAGGAAAAGAGCTGAAAAACTCTTTCTTTTCTATATCCAAGGATTCATGAATTAACAAGTCCCAAATGGCTTCTCAAATTCTCATAAAATAAACATCCTATCAGACCAAAGTTTATTTAAAAAACAAAAAGGTCAGTTATTTGGAAACTAGTGGGAAAAAGGTTTTGATGTTGTTTTTCTAATTGCAAAATGAAGTTAAGTACAAGACTATGAAGTCCACAACTGAATATATCTAGAAACTTGTTCATGAAAGACAAAAGGTTCAAAAAAATAGAGACGGAATTTCTAAATGTCATAGCCATACACTTTTGAAAGATATCTATTGTCATCCAGTTTCAACCTGGTATAAAATTCTATTAAGATACACAGATGCACAAACACACACATACACATCAACTTCGGTTGTGAAGAAGCCCTTTATTGTCTAAAACATTCAAGAACAATTTCCCTAATAACATTAAGAATGAAATAAAAATACCATGACCCCTAAGTCCCTAACCACAAAACACTGTAACATCATTAACAAAATCAAATCACCTAAATTTCTCATGGAACTCACCCAAATAAAATTGTTGTTATTATAGGCACAGTCATTGCCAAATATCATGATAGAAAATTCGTCCATGTTACCTGTGGACCACATCATGATCATGAAGATACTTCAAGCCATTTAAAATCTGCCTTGTGTATGCAGAAACTTGAGAATCGTTTAAACGATACTTTTGATAGAGACTTGCCAATGACCCTTTTGACATAAGCTCAAGGAAGATATAAAGTTTACTTTTGTCCTGGGAAATACAACATATAAATATCAATAACAAAGAAGGAAATAAAAACTAGAAACACAATTTCTGTTAAAGAAACATAACCAAACAAAAAATAATTGAGTTTTGAAACATCAATTTGGTCTTCAAAAGCTTAGTGACATACTGACATTAAACCAACCATCCAATGATTTGCGTGGCATCACTTTGGTCCACGTATTGGACTATATTCTAGGCCAAAAAATTATGGTTCAAGGACCAAATTCAGAATTTAAAGAATAGATAGCTAAACAACGATTCAAGTACTAAATAAGAACATTTCCAGAAAACAGGACAAAGAATGTAATCAGGTAGTGTATAGTGAGCCAATCATTATTAAAAGGAATGCATAGAGTCCGATGAACATTCAGTTACTACAACCAAGCAATTAAAAAAATGGAATAAACTGTGGCTACTGTGAAAACCTGAAAAAAATGTCTTTCATAAGTTCTATAAAGGATGCAGAATAGAGAAACAAAAAGAAAGATTTGCAACCCAAAAGGAGAAAAGATGAAGCAATCTTAAAGTGCATTTGCAGTTCAAAACTTAGATACAGACAGCTCAAACAGCACTAAGAAAGCATTGCAATACTCCCAAGTGAAATAAGCTTTCAAAATTGAAAAATGCTTATTTCAATTGCCTATGTCCTAAAAATGCAACTATTCTTCCTAAAATATCATATTCTGGCATAATAAAAGAGACTTTCCCCCTAGATAACAGCATACCTTGTCTGAGCCATAATATCGAACTATGTTTTTATGTTCAAACTGACTCAAAAGAGATATTTCCTGAAAGGTAGAGCACAAACATCACATATAAAAATGTTGTCAAATAAAATGAAATGGACAAATCATATGCTTAAATGAGAAAACTAAATCCTCCCACCTGCTGAAGTTGGGAAACACTCTGTTTTCCCTGGCTACCTTCATCCAGCAAAGACACCTCCTTTACTGCAAAAAAGAATCCATCACTGCAAGAAAAGAAAATGCATGTTAACCCTGTAAAAATAAGGTAAATTATGAAGCTAAAAAGCATGGACCTCCTTACAGTCTGTTTGAACCAAGCTTGACATTAAAATAATTGGACCCCTGTGTTTTATCAGCTATGGATACAGAGACTTCCATTATGGTAGCAGGCTAGCAGCCACAAATAAATTTTACAAACCAAAGCCTATGAGTGGCCAGTAAAAAAACAGCAGCTGACAGATTCCATTGACCAGGTAAACCAACTTTCAAATGTCTTCAACTCCTATGATATTTTCGAAATGGTATTCGCTGTCTTAATTTTGGCAACGACTACAAGTCATATTTAACTGGTTATCTTCTGCTCTCAGCTAAAAAAAAGAGATAAACTGAACAAAGAAGGATCACTAGCAGACCAATCTATAAAATCAAGCTATAAGTATTTCTAAAAGCTGGCCAACTGATTAAAAGAGGGTGAAGAAAATGCAAAGCTAAACCAAAGATGTCTTCCAGTTATTAATTACTATACACTTGACATATTGTTCTAGTACACAAATTCTCTGCCAAGGAGACTCTCCTAATCCACTTTTCCTATAGAGCACCTGCTGAAGCTGTCAACTTAAGTACATGCCATAGAATGAGCCAGTACGATAAACAGCTCTTACAAGCAATTAAGCACAAACATGCTTAAAAGTATTCATCAAAGGAGCAGACTTTTCCTTAGCACTTGAGTTTCCTATAAGCTACACAACCAGCGGTTATATTATAATAAGATAATATTACCTGACTGGTGCGCATTCACTGGAAATTGAATGCAATCCAAAAATGTTTTTTTTTTTTAAATCACATACAAAACACCAACTACGAAAATCATGATAGACTATATCTGGATATGCATTAAAATTCAGTGAACATGCGTCCAACTTGTCAGCACAGCTATGGACACGGTTAAATTAATGAGAATTTAAGGCGCACAATTGCAGAACCAAACACGCATTTAGTAAGCGTGACAAAAATAAGGTAACCAGTGTTTCTCTAAAAGTGCGAGCTAGTCCAAACAACACAGACTAACAACAACCCTAACCAGGTCAAATATGCACGACGTTTTAATTTCACCTAAACCATTAAATAAAGAACTAAAAAAGCAAAGAGTGAAGTAAAGAAGAAAATAGGAAACACTCACTCGGTGAAGCCTTCATAAACCGTTCCAAAGGACCCATTTCCCAAAATGTCACCCTTTTGCCAAGAGGAGAAAGTCCTTCTAAACCACCCATTGGAGGAAACATAATGAAGCAACTCATCAACGACCCCAGAACCAGAAACAGAGCAAGGCCTATCACCACCAACATCACTATCATCATCATGGGAAGTAGTAAATGAACCAGAATCAGTAAAAAGCACGCTCCTCTCCCCATGCCTGACTCTACCAACAACACCCCTAATATCATGTTCACCCGAAGACGAAGGAGAATTAACAACATCAACAGAAACAGCAACAGCAACAGAAACAGCGCCGACATCATCGAGAGGAGCAAAAGCACTAATCAAACCATCAACAGCTGGGGGTGGAGCGAGAAGGGGAGGCCTAACACCCTTGATCCCACCACCACCTCCTCCCAGCCGAACCTGGTGGTTGGAGTGCTGTTCCCCTGGAGAATCAGAGGTGCGATTTTCCAATTTAGGGTTGGAGGAAGCAACGCGAGCCTTTCGGGCTTCCCAGTCAGCGGTGGGGATGGAGAAGTCTTCGGGCCCAGAGAGGCCCAAGGATTGGAAGATGCGGTCGAATTCACCGTCGTCGAGGCCCATGAGGCGGAAGCTGGACTGGTGGAAGGAAGAGGAAGGGGTGGAAGAATGAGTGGTGGGTGGTTGGTAATGGAAGTCTTTCTTGGCGTTGAGGCGCTGCAGGCGAGGCTGTGGCTGTGGCTGTGGCTGTGGCTGAGAGTGCTTCTTGGAGTTTGATTTTCGCCTCCAATCCATCATTGTTTCTTTGGTTTGGCGTGTTTCAGTTTTGCTCTGTTTTGTTTGTTTCTCTGCTTCTTCGATGGCTGCTGGAAATTCAAGAGGAATTTGCTGCTAGTGCTTAGCACCTCAGCTCAGCTGTTCTTCTTTTCCATTCTTTTTTTTAGTATTTAATTCACTATTTTTTATGGCTCCTGTGCTTTTTTATTTTTATTTATCATAAGTAGTACTTTTTTGGCGTTTTATGATACCTGTCTTTCTTTTAGTTTTTCACTTTTTAAAAGAAAAGCAGGTATTATAATAATATCTTTAATAATTTTAATTTTTTACTTTTTAAAAAATAACTAATTTTTCACTTTTTAATTTATATATATATATATATATATATATATATATATAATCTTCAATAATAAATTTACTTATATACATGATTTAAATCGAAATTGATTTAAAATAAAATAGAAAAAAATATTTTTACTATAGAGTTGGACGCAGAGGATGGTTCCGCGTTGCAGGAAAAAGTGGGAGACAAAGCCTAGAAAACAACGATTGGGTGCGTACGAAAAGTCAATGATCAAATATTAGACCCATCTGTTTTATCGATCAAAATTTATTGTTTGCTGCCACTTGGACACTTCTAATCTGATTTCAAAATTTTTTGTAGAAATTTCACGTTTATTAACCTCTTTATTGCCTTATTTTGATATCAAATTCTATAAAGATGACATATTTTATAAATGTTTTTCAAAAAATATTAAAACTATTATCGTTAAGATTAAAATTTTATAAAATATGTTAACTTTAAAAAATTATACAAGAAAATTTAATATAAAAAATTAGTTCTTTTACCCAGAAAAAATATTTTAAAAGTACATCATATTAATTTTCTTTTTCAATATACATATATTAAATTAGTCTTAACATTTTTTTTATCATACGGGAGACTAGAGCTCACTTTGGAATAATTTTTTACTTTTATTTATCTATTTATTTAAAAATTTAAAATTATATTAATTATTAAATTTACAATCATATCTTTACTTCTACTTAATTTTTAAATGTCTTACATGCTTTATTATAAAAGAGATAAAAATAATAGTAGAAATCATATATAGTTATAAGAAGTTAACAGTATTTTTTATATAAATAAGATTATTAATTATATTTATGTTATTTTTTAATTGAATAGATAAATGAAATTATTAAAAATATAGAAGATTAATATTAAAACACGACTAAGCCAAGTAAAGTTACCATTTTAGAGGAGACTTTTTATCTATAATTTTAAAATAAAAAATTATGAAATAGTAAACCGAACACTTTAAAACTCCCAAATTATCAATAATGTACTTCTTATCGATTTTTTAATTTTAACTAGTTATTGTTTTACACAATATATGTATAATTAAATTAAAATAAAATTGTAAATAAGTAATTTAAAACATATTGTATGATTGTTTTACAACTTTATAATTTTTATAAAATTTCAAAAGAGTCAATATTATAATTATTGATAATAAATATTCTATTACATTTTAATATATATATATATATATATATCATTTTTAACGTATAAAAAATTTAAATAATATTTAATTAAAAAATAAATACTTAAAGTAAAAAAAATACTTGATATGATGAATAAAAAATGCTATTGTTTAAAATTTTGTACTATATATATAATTTGATTAAAATAAAATTTCTAAATAAACAATTAAAAATTTATGAATATTTAAAATGTTAATGAAATATTAATATTATTATATTAAATAAAAATAAAAATAGAAACTTGATATAAAAATTATTTAACGTGATAGAAAAAATCTTAAAAATACTTTCGTTAATAAATGTGTAGGGTGAATGCATTAAAGATACCTCATATTTGATCTCTATCTAAAAAGTAAAATTCCATATTAGAGTTCTATTCGACAGTTTTATAATAGTTTTTCCCAGCATTCTTGATGTTCAACCTTTTTTGGCTAACATTCTTGGGGTTCAACTGTAATTCATGTTTTTACGAGTTTTGAATTTATTTTATGATGTTTTATATATGAATAATTGTATGAATTTACAACAATGTTGTTTAAATAATTTCATACAAAGTTAAAAAAAGAAATTTAAATGTATCTTACTTTTATTTATTTAAAAAATTTATTTATTAAATTGATAGTAGCGAAGCAGCACATGTAAAAGCAATTGATTACCGACAATCTTGCAAAAGCTTCACCAGCTAATTAAAAAAAGGTCTAATCTAATCAATCTGTAGTTATCTGCTTGGCCATTGACTGCGAAATATTTCAATGCATAAAGTTGCATTTACAAATATAAGATATATACGATGAGAAATGTTGGGACTATTATCTTCTGTGTTAAGCGTGTGTTTGAATTAACAGATTTTTCTCCATTTTTTATATTTTTTTATATCACATTTATTATATTTTTTATTCTCTTTCTCCTATTTATGTTACACCCACTAAATGAAATGATTATTTTTCTATTTTATATCAACGAAATAGTTCAATTGATAAGTTGCAGTTAAAGATGAGAAAATAAATTTATTTGATTTAAATCTGTCTAATAAAATATAAGGTTTGGATTTTAAAATTGTGAGAATAAAATGTGTTTCCATTTGTTGACGAGAAATTGTGTTAAAAAGAAAAGTTGCTGCGTCATACATCTTACAGAAAAAACACTGGTAAAGCATGCACAAGACTATCAAGCCCAAACTCTTTTTGCATGAATTCACCTCCACTTAAATGCTTAATAAGCCTGGTTCAATGATTAGAATAAAGACAATAGAGCACGATGAGTATTTTAATGAATAAAAAATATAATAATTTTATATGTTGTTTATTATATTTAAAAGTTATTAAAAGGGATGGTTAATTTACTTTTATCCCTCCTATTTTCTTTTTTTATTTATTATATTCTTATACCAAACAAGTCAAATAGTTGATGACAATGAAGAGGCAAAAGAGCAACGTCTATCATACCCCTTTATATGCTATTAATTTTGATATCTAACAAATGAATAGCTTATGTTTAGGTCTCATTTTGTTAGCCACTCATTAGTCCTAAATATAAAAAGCCTTGGAGCGGCCTCTTTCGATCTCATACTAGAATTAAAGTAAAAAACATGTCTTTCTCACTTGTTTACTCTATTTACTTCTTCATCGTAAGCCACGTCACTTGATTTTGCCAAAACTTGTCTTTTTGTGATTTCATTAAAATCACCTATTAATTATGAAGATGATTTATTTAAATGTGTGTGTGTGTGGAGTTGAATTTTATTGATCATAAGAACTTGGAGGCAACTAGTCTCAGTTAGGCTTTGTTTGAATGAGATGATTTTGTGAAAAATAATTTTAGAGGCATAATCTTGGATTAAAAAAATTATTTTCTTCAAGTTTGGATGATTTATTTTTTGTGAGTAAAAAGAAAAGTGAGAGGTGAGGCCCACGACTTTTCTTCTTCTCATCTTTGTCATGAAAGAAACAGTAATAGGGGCTTGAATTTTGTTTTTTATTTTATTTTAATGGTAAATATTTCTTAAAATAATATAATAAGTAAAAAATAAGTATTCAGGAGAACTATTATATATTAAAAGCTATAATTTTTTAATGAAATAAATTTATTATTATTATAAAAAATTATATAATATGTATATTTGCTTGTCACTTTTTTTTTTACTAATTTAAATAACATTTTTATTCTATTTTTGTTTCATTTCTTATCTTCTCATTTCTTTCTATTTTCCTTTTAATGCATTGTTTGGATTCATTAAATACAAGATTAGAGAAATAATTTTGTAGAAAAAATATTATTTTCCTTTATGTGGGAGGAGAGAAAAAGTTAACTGAGTCCTACTAAAACAAAGAAGGATAATCGTTAGAGAGAATGGTGTGATATTTTTAATTTAAAAATTACATAATTAAAAAGTATTATATTAATACTTTTAATTTTTTGTTAAAATAAAATCTGTATTATTATTTTAAATATTTTTTCTTATAAATTACTCTCTTTGTTTTTTTATTCATTCATCTAAACAAATAAAGTAAAAATATTATTGTTTTCTCTCTTATATCTATTGATCCAAATAACATATCTTTTCAATTGCATTTCTCTGATATTTATTTCTTTATCTATTCTTTTCTACACACTTTCTTTCCTCCAAATATAGAATTAGACTCAAAAGAGAACCTATTGCCAGCGTCGTAGCTCCATTTGAGTTAGGCTTGGAGAATGATGCTTTCTTTTTGAGCAAAACAGAAATGATGATAACCAGCCATGGAGATGCAAAATGAAAAGCTATAAATTAAAAAGTTCCCATACATGTTATTGTAGAATTTTTCTTGAAGGCCTTGGTGACTGATTTAGATCTCAATGACCCATATGTCTTCAAAGCATATTAATGAAGTCATATATGGTTGTCTGTCATGAAGACACGACCATGTCATGGCATTTTTTTATATAAGAATGAGAAGAGAGTAGAGATGTTGGACAACCTTTAGAGTCACTCAAAGGCCTTTGATCTTAAGGTGTAAAATGAGACTTAAAAACTTATAAGTATATTTTGAGACTTCATCTAAGCCATCGATATGTTTAGAGAAATTATATCATTTTATACTATATATTTAGATAATTGTTTTTTGTACATTGATTAAAACAAAAAAGCAAAAGATAAGAAAAGAAAGAGGTATACGATGATTGATAGAATTAAAAAAATAATATCACTCATATGTTACATATAAAATGAATGACTCGTGTAGGAAATCATAACATGCATCGAGCACATTAGGCGTTGCTGATAAGGTATGCCCAGCCTTTTTCACTCATTCTTTTAAAAAAAATTCACTTATTTCACATATGTTTCTGCATGCTCTTTTTTAGTTAATTAAAATCTGTTTCCCGTTTTGAATAATCTTTTTTCCTTTTTTTCTCGAAAATAAAAAGAAAAAAAATAATATTTGATAATTATTGCATCATTAATTTAAAATTAGTTATATTTATAAAATAATTGAATTCAAATCAAGGGTAAATAAATCATCAGTTTCACATTTTACATATTTTTTCATTTTAGAAGAATTAAAATTCAATGGCAAAAATCTCCTCCTCTTTTTTTTTTTCTTGCATGTCGTCCCTATACCATTATTTGGTAATTTCTTAACGTTATTTCTTTAATTCCTCATTATTTATTTTTTGAGATTTTTCTTGCTCACCATATCTGTGTGTATTATTTTAGTTACAACCAAGAAAATTTTCACAAGGTTATTTTTGCTGATAAACAAAGTGATTTTTAAAAAATTTCATCAGAATTAACATGATTATAGTTAATTAGAAAAATAATATATTTTCTCCAATGGACTTAGATATAACGCCTCGGTTAAAAAGGTGTTTATTGCATTAATTGAAAAAGAGCAAATGTACTCTCTCTATTTGACTAAGATCGCAATGTCTCATGACTTACATTGTATTTGCAAATATTATGACAGGCACGTTCTAAATATGTTTATCTTCCAGATGTAACAAGATAGTTCATATACATATATAGTAACAGAGTATATGTGCTTTACGCAAGATTTTCTTTACGGATCCTTTTAGTCTTCCTTTAATTTTCCTCTTCTCATTCTAATATGGACTTGGGTAGTGCCAGATTTACTTGTTATACATGCATGTATCAACACATGCATATTAATGAACACATGCACTTGAACTTGACGTAGCAATTATGCGCAATATATTAATTAAATCAAGCACATTAATTGTCAAATTCTTTTTCTATGAAGACTTTTAAGAAAATCATTTTCTATTAGAAGACACAGTTGAAAGAGGCTTTGCAATACTTTTATAATTGAGCCTTGGTCTAGTTGTATTAGTTAAAAGTCCTTCACTTGTATGCCATCCAACTAATCACTCAAATTTTTCTTCACAACAATTAATCATTAACAAAAATCCAGATTACAAAGAAAAGAAGAAATCACGCACCGCCTGTAACATTATTTATATGAAGATAGATACATAAATGTAATGCCAGATAATTAGTCACTTGAACATTGGTAAACATTGTTGTATGGCACTAACTTTTTTGTCTTCAAACAAACCTATTATCATCAATGTGAAAAATCAAGTTGGCTTACCATTTATCGAGATATATTCTATGACCCAGTTGCTGCGAGAAAAGCTAGCTACCATTTTGCCCACTCCTATGACCAAAGGAAGTTCCTATAGGATGAGTAGGGTGGCTCTCTTTATTCATGAGTGATGTTATGGCCGCTGCAACAGCAACCCTAAACTTAGGATCTGAGGCAATTGCCGACACATTGTCCTCTAGTGGCTTGCTTTCTTCTCCTTTCCAAATTCTATCATGATCCAGTGGTATAGGCTTGTGAAAATTGTTCATTGCAATAGCACCACCTTGGTATTTGTTTGGCATCCAAGAAAAACGAGACTCGGTTGTGGTGTTGGACGAGCTGCCAGTAGAAAAACGTAGCGGTTCACTGAGATTATTGGTGAGATCAAGAACAATCCCTTTGGATGGATCATTGGGGTTTAAGCTTCTATAATTGGAAGCTGGGGTTAATGGGTGGAAGCTATTGTAAGGAATGGGTGTTTGGATGAAACTAGAGGTACCATCTGAAATAGGGTTGCTTGAGTCTAGCAACATGAAGGAAGCTGCTGCAGAAGCTGTAGAAGCCATAGCAGTTGCACCCACTGGGAGTGGATGGTTGTGTGTTCCTTCATAGGTTGTAATTAGAATGGACATGTCATCTATACACCTTTGAACCTATACATGTAAATTTAATAAGCATAAGAAATCAACACCATGAAAAATAAGAAAATTTTTCGATAGAATGAAATTTTTTTTTTTGACAAAAACAATATATGAAGAACATCGCTTGGTTTCTATCTAATTCCTTGATTTTCTTTTATTCTTTAATTTATTATATAACCGAAGAAATACATGCACAATCATATGTGATGAATTTATAGGAATTTTTGTGTACAATGCAGTGCTCAAAACATAAATATAAGCTCGTAACGAAATGGTTGTATTTGAAAAAAAAAAATAACTGTTAATTTTTTAAAAAATAACTTGATAAAAATATAAATTATTTTTTAAAAATTGAAATAAATGTTAAACTTCATAATTTCTAATGGAGGAATTTGATTGTCAAATTAAGTAATGTAATTTTTTTTTTTCAAAACTTATTAAATTCTATAGAAGCAAATAAAGAGTGAAAATGCATAGTTGAGAATTACCTGTTTCCTGACGGGGCAGCCAGGGGCTACGGTGCAACGATAATAGGCTCGTGGACATGGATTTCCTTTCGCAATTTTCTGCCCATATTTTCTCCATTGGCACCCATCATTCATCTATCTCAAGTGAAAAAAACTTGAGATTATTAGCTCTTAACGTTAATCAAATCATAATGCTAACTTTTATTTATCAGCCTAATACTAACTTGATGGATACATTATAAATATATATAGTTTTTGAACTCACTGTGGCAGCCTCGCATCTTGCTCTGACCGAAACCCTAGCCTTTCTGTTAGGAGGGGAAGCAGCATGGGTAGTAATACCAGGTAATTCATGTGTCCGCTGCAACTTGTTCTGCACTGATGCAAAACTTGCCAATTGTTCCTTTTTGTCTTCCTTATTTCCCTCATCAGTTTCTATTTGACTTGTGCTTGTTTGCAACCTTAGCGATAAACCCAATTCACCCTCGCTTATAATACCATCCGTGTTTGGTGGAGACGAAGCGCTTTGAATTTTTTTATTAAAGATCTCAAGAATTCTCGATGGTCCTTCGTCGCTGGTGGTTGCATTGTCTTGAAGTGAGAGAGAAATTTGATGATCCTATATAAATGGGATTTATTTATTATTATATAATTGAGATGACATATAGTTAATGAAAGCTATAAAAAATATATAATTGGATTTACCTTTCTTTTATTGTTTTCCTGGATTGCTGAAAATTTCATTTGCAGATCATAATAGTCTTTCATTGTTTGTTCTACAACTTTTCTCAGAATTTTGTTTTCCTCTTTCATGCTCTCCATCTCCATTTGTATTTCACTTAGCTGCAAGAAAACCAAACCTTTAACGACTTCTAAACAACTATATAACAATATATCATACACAAGCAATTAATTAGATGTTTTCAAGAGAGATGTGTTTCAACTTTCGAGAGTTGCCCATGCATAGAGAAAAATTTTATGATATAATACTATATATTTTAGCTATTAATTTACACAAATTACAGCAAAATCAACGGAGAGGTAGATATATGGGGTAATAAGAAAGAGAGGAATTAATGGTGACACTTTTCGATCTGTTGCTGTAAATGAAAAATTACCTCTTTTGTTTTTGTGTTATCTTGCAAAGATGTTTCTACCACTGATGCATCATCTTCTATTACACCTGATGTGGCTTCAGGGACTTCTTCCTTATTATCAGATAATATCTGTGCCATTTCTTCCTCGTCATCTTCTATTACTCGCTCATCTTCCTTTGCTGCTTCTGCTTTTTCTTCTTTTTGCTCATCATCAGTATCTATCTTCAAAGAGAGATCAATTTCCATCTTAGTGGGTTCTTCTCCTCTACCCATTGATTGAGGACAAGGTCGAGCTTTTGGAGAATCTCCTCCTTTGTCCTCTCTTATGATATAAAAGTACGCTACTTTTAAGGCACCAAAGTCAATTCCCTCGTCCCAAAGACGTTTCTTATCTTGGACACACTAGGACGCATCTATGATTTGACTTTAGTTGGCTTCTTAATGAACCTCCAATTAAATTAATTAGTCTATAAGCTTCTATTTTAAAATTTAACAAGCATAGGCCAGTGGGCACCCTCCTATATTTGATAATTGAGCTCGCCCATATACAAAAAGACGAAATTAACCATTAGTACCAGTGATGTTGATGATGGGTCATTGACCCCTTTAATTGCCCTTTGTGTAATTGAAAAACAATTCATGGTCATCGTAATAAACCTTCAGCCACTACACTGAAAATAAGTGAGGTAAAAGCATCACATCACGAGACTTCAATTTTATTAGCATAAAAATATATACATAGGCTTTTTTTATCCTTTTAGAGCACGTAATTAAGCCGTCTAACTTGTTTAATTGATGCTATCATGCTAATTCGCCCCCCAGACCCATGATAATAAAGCAAACGCTTCATTGCTAAATGCCAACACTAGGGCATACGCTTGGGTAGACCCATTGTGGCTCTTAGCATGAACTGCATGATTCTCACCTTATGTCTATTTCTACACATATGACTCGCATGAACTATATAATGTCTTTTTACAGTGGAAGAAGCCATTTGTTGAGAATTGAAGGGGCAATCGTGCTACATGTGCCTGCTAATGACGAACAATTTGACAAGATTCATTCGAGTTTTTTATAACTAGAAATAGGGGAAAAATATTCCAAAGCTTAACATGCAGCTGATTATAATATATGATTTAATGTGACATCATCTATACGATGGAATATGAGCCCCGTACGAAATCCCATATGAAGGAAAAAAAACCTTGGGATCAGATCTTGATTTTGTCAACTGTAAGACCATAAAAGCCATACATCTCTCAACTCCTACTTTATTTAGTTTAGTTGTATACTACCTCCCACGTTATAGTTTAATAATCAACAAAAACCTAAAGGAAAAAAAAAATATTTTTTCATAGGAAACTCTTTCTGTACGTAAACGAACTAGAAATTTCTCCCCTTTTTCTTGGCGAACTATCATTAGAGTTTTGAGCTTTAGATTTAATTTAATGCATGCTTTAATTCTAAATACATTAGATCTAAAACACCCGAAGCATTATTATATACCGCAGAAGTTACTCAAAATTATTAATTATAACTAATTTCAACTATATAAAATTAATAATGTAATTAATTAAAAGATTTTTTTATCTCGTGTAATATTAAGTTATATATAATAAATTTTATTAAAAATTATAGCATTTAATAATATTAATGCATTGAATTATCTAATATAATTTTAATAAAATTTTACTATATGTAACTTCTTATAGTATGCAAATTATACATGATGTTAAAAAAATAGTTGACCCAGTACGTGAATATGCGTTTTTGAAAAGCATGCTATATATTTATTGAAGTTAAACCGCAGAAAGGGAAATCCCCCTCTCCCTTCCTCTTGGCCAACTATCTACAATTAGAGTTTTGAGCTCCAGGTTTGGTTTATTTTATGCTCTAATTTTAGAAAAACATTATATCTTCAATACTTGAAGAATTATTATTGGCCGCAAAAGTTACACAAAATTATTATGTACTATTTAAATATTATATATATAAGGTATAATTAATTAATCCAATGCATGGGTGTATGTTTTGGAAATTACTATTTTTACATCATGCGTGTATGCATCTCCCAATAGGAAAAATAACAATATAATAAGATAAGTACGACAAAAAAATGTGATTAAAACAAAGAAAGAAAAAGATAATGTAAAAATAGCTAGTGTAGTAAAAAATTAAAATTGTCTTCTTTTACTTCCTATTTCTCCGAAACAAATCAGGCCACATATGCTTTTTATTAAATCAAATTTTCATTTAAATTAAATTGATGCTGTTTAAGCAAAAGAAAAAGGAGAAATTAAAATAAGACGAAAAATAGCACTTGTACAAACAAAATAGATATATAAATCTCAAAAAGCACATATGTGGATAGTGTTTTTTAAGAGGTTGATCGGAAAATATGATTTTAAAAAGAAGGGAGGAAAGAACAATTTTTTATTTTAAATAATATATTTAAAATTATTTTTTAAAATAAAAAGATATTGATATATTAACATAAATTTAATATATTAATCATGTATTTATTATCATAAATAATATATAATTCTCTTAATTTAAAATTAAAAAAAAATGTTATCGCCTCTCTTTTCCTTGAAAAAGAAATAAAAAATCTCTTCCAAATATGCCATAAAAAGTGAGAAAGAATAAGCGACAAAAAATTTGATGGTTCATTGTGATATCAAATCTCTTTAATTAGCACATGTAACTTCACTCAGAAAAGAGAGTCTAGAGAAGATATAAATGAATTTTCTTTGGGGTGGCATGGAGAATCCACGGAAGATAGCATTGGTGAGTTGAAAAGAAAGGTTACAAATCTATGTAAGAGGCTAGGGTGGTCTAGGCATAAAGGAGCTGAATGTTTTCAATTAATTTATCTCTTTTGGGGAAGCGAAGATGAACAACTTTCACAAAAAAATGAAGTGTCAAGAAATTAGCTTACAACTCCTTTCGTCGATGAAGTGATATTCAGGGGTTGGATCACAATATACATCTCCCTAGTTGGTTCAAAATAGGAATGTAGAAAGCAAGTGAATACTGGACTTCTAGTGTTATTAATGTTATTTATTAATTATTTTTTTGTAATATATAATGACATTAAATGTAAATTCTCTGTTCACATAAAACTCTAATTTTGATTGATAAACAATACCAATAACACTTAAAAAATAACACATAAATTTTCTCATTTAAATAACAAACATAGTTGGTGGAGAAAGATTAAGCTCAACATACTACAGCTTGTTTTCAATTTGTGAAAATAAAAAAAAGACTTGGAGTTAGAATATGTAAGCTAGTTAAATGTGAGATTTGAGGAGCAGTCTTTTGGCTTATGAAAATAGAATCTAATATGTTCTATGTTCTTTACTTACTTTTTTTAGTTCTGATTTTTTAACTTGTGTAACATTACTTAAGATAAAAAGATATATAGAATAATTTTTTGAATAAAATTATAAAATTTAATGTAATTAAATGCATTCATACAACGAACGTTGGTGTAAAATGATAAGGATACAATGGTGAAAATATGGTAACAATAGAAACTTGTTCTCTCCTTATTCAACATTATTTTACAATAGTTGTTTGCTTTTGGCAACAAATTCTATTTTTGAAATAATGTTGGCTTTGCATGTTGATGTTCTTAATAGAAATTGTTGGAGCTATATAAACTAAAACATCTTGTAATAAGTCACATATTACTTAGGTATGTAAAGGAAAAAAGAGATTAAGACTATATATTTGCTCTAATTAATCTTTCGTTTTAAGTTTGATTAATTAAAAATATTTTAAGCATATTTAAATTTTTTTTATACTTGTTCTTAAAAAGTTATAAAATCTTTAGATATTTACTTTAGGGAATAAAAGTATATTTAAACCTTGAAATAGTTAAAAGAAAAAATTTTGTATAGTGACATTTTTTAGTTGTCATTAGACAATAATTGTGATTTTTTTTTTATTTTAGAGTTTTCATAATAATTCTTATGTTACGGTTGTGTTATTGTTTTTTTATTTGCAAAACTTTTTTAAGGAAATATGTCATTTTTTTAAGTAGTAATTTAACAACTTCTAATTCAATCAAATATTACATTCTTATGATTACAATATTTTTTATATTAGAAAAGAAGTGTGATAATGTGGGAGTGTTATTTTGGGGAAAAAAAATTGGTTAAGAAAGACCTGATACATAAACAAAACCTTCTTTTATTTCTCGAAAACCCACCTAGTGCATGGTTTTCCGTAGTCTCTATGTAGTTATAATATCTAATTTTTCAAATGTTATAAAGTTTGAATGTAAATAAATTTAATGAAAGAATTAAATTTGAGTTGTACAAATACAAGTCAAGACTGTATTAATATAATTAGAATTACACATGGCATTATATTCTCTAAATAGAAAAAGAATAAGAAAAAAATTCTTAGTCATATTAGAAATGTCTTTATCTTTATGAAAAGATTTTTTTTTCTAAAAATAATAAATATATCCTCATAATATTATTGTATTATAATAAAAAAAACTATTAGTTATTGTTAACGAATCGTACACAAATATTAATTGATATTAATGTAAGATGCATAGTAATTAAATACAAACATTGGTTGGTATTAATACAAGACATATGATAATAATCTATAGATATTGACTAATATTGTTGTAAAGTGCACGTTATACCTTTTATCAAGAGAATTCAAAATTGAACTAAATTAGTTTTAAACAACAAACAAATTAAAAAAAAATAAATAATCAAACAAATAAATGCATTTGTATTGCAATTCAGTTTAGATTTCAGTTTCTATTATTAAAATTGAACCAAATCAAATTGAATTGCACTATAATATATTTATATTATTTTTCTATTATATTTTTATATAAAGAACTTTTATAATTTTATCATAATGTATAAATTTATGATACATTGTTTCTTCAAAATTTCTTTTTCTCTCAATTGAGTTTATTTATTCATTATCAATAAAGTTTTATCATCTTAATTAATAATTTTTTATTTTTGTTTTTATTTTTTAAAAAATTTGCTTATTCTTAGGTTACTTTTTAATCTAAAAAAATAAAATTAGTTATATAAAAATAAATATTTTTTAAAATAAGTCATAAATAAATAAATCAATCCAAATGAATTATAAAATATCAATTAGATTTAACTAGTTTTGATATTACATTTAAGTCTAATTAAATCATAACTATAATAAATAAAGGATGTGTTTATTTTAATTAAGATGGAGATATATCAAAGTTG